AAGAAAAGCATTACTTGAATAAAGATAAAATGACACTTTGTATGAACTATGAACCTAACATTCTCCATCTTTCAACCTTTATACATAATTACATGGTTACCCCTCCATTAACAGGGGCGTTACAGGGTATTTTGAACATTTACCAAAATGAGCATTTGACTCGGCTATCATATTACTCGGTCGGCTGAGACTGGTGGTCCTTGGGTTGGCAAGGATAAATCGACTGACTATGCTGAGTTGGGGCTGCTGATCAGCTTTGATTGATCTTCAGTTGTCCAAAATTTGCTCGATTGACTTGAGTCAACCGATCGTCTGCTTTGGTTCGACTATCGACTATCAACCCTTAAATGAGGAGCTTCTGTCCCCATGATGAAATTAGGATGTTGGGCAGAGGGTGATCTCTGTAGTCTGACATGCAACTCACTTCTTGATAGAAGGACCCTTCGGGGTATTCAAGGAGTGTATTGTCGTGAGAACCTTCAAGCCCTTGAAGAGTCTGGGAGGCTCTTATGAGGCGGCTGGTGATGCTGGGGTGAGAGTTGGGTTTATGCATTCTCTCCACTCAATGGATCTTAGTCTTTAGCTCAAATGACCTCTGTCTAATCGGCTTTAGGTCCCGACCCAAAGGATCTGCACTTGGTCATTCAAATCTTTCATCTTTTGGTGATGTGACCTTTAGTCTTCCTTTTGTCAGCAATCCCTAATTTTACTTTTTTAGCTGTTGTATTTCCTTGTGATTCATATTGTTGTATTTCCAATGTACATATATAAACCTCCCGCACCTCTCTATCTAGTATGAGCTTGTAATTACTTTTATTATATATATATATGTATATATATATATTCCTATTTTGAGAGAAATGAAAAGTTATGAACACCTTTAAATGCAATACCTGAACACCAAATCATTGCCTTTTGTGTTGCAACATAAACCTAACATTATTCTATCATAGTTGTCACCTTCAAGCCTCACATTCCATCTTCCAGCTGTCCATCATGGGATTGCCACAACTCCTACCCATAAATCTATCACTATCTTCGCTTTTTGGTCTATTATTATAGCAATCGTTAAGCCAACCACATTAATTGCCCCAAAGGTGCTTTATGTTCGTGCTATTTATCAGCTCCAGATTTGCATAGCCCCCAGCATTAGAGTTGTCTTAATGGTATGTTTAATCACAACTGAAACAACAAAGCTAGTTTTATTGCTGTTAAATTTCATGAGCATTTAAATACACACCACACAATTTCTATGTATTCATAAATCTAACATCTAAATTTATTGGTTGAAGATTTAGTTTTTCACAAAAAAAAAAAAGAAAAAAAATCTTTTAAATTTCATAGAAGACGCCATTATTTTAACTCAAAAAGTATGAAATAGACCTTTTCAAGCAGAGGTTACGTGTTATGATGTAAAAATTGAAGTTCAGGTGTTAAATATTGATGAGTGCTAGAGAATTCGCGGTGGTAGAGTAATGAATTATCGTCTTAACGTAGTACAAAAATCCATCACACACTTATATAGTTAAAGAGAAGTAAGCATGAAGAGACAACTCAATTTTTACATGAAAATCTATGAAAAAAGGGAAAAAACAACGATGCCTGACCTGATTCAAAATATTCATATTGAATGGTGAGTACACATGTGTACTTTTCTTTTGAATTATGGAACATGGAGTTATAAAGTCGATCATTGTAACTTTATAACAATAGTTGGTTGTTATATGAGCTCTGGGTCATGAGACTATAGTTGGTTATTTTGGTCGTAGTGCAGAGTGTGATGGCGTCTGTAGGATGCAAAGGCACGTGTCGGGAGCAACAAGAGTTGTAAGCTACATAGGTCGTAATGACGAACAGTGATGACATCCATAAGCCAAAGATGTCGTAGTCAGAAGTTGCATGAACTGCGGGCCATGTGGGTCGTAGTTGGTCACATAGGCCGTCATGGTGAGCTGTGATGACATTCGTAGGTCATAGAGGTCGAAGTCGAGAGCCGCACGAGCAGTAAATCACGTAGGTCATAATGGTGAGGTGTGATAACGTTCACAAGCCATGTGGGCAGTAAGCCAGAATCAGGAGATGCACAAGCTTTAAGCCATGTGGGTAGCTGTGGGTCACATAGGCTATAGTAGTTAGCTGCGTTGACATCTGTAGGCCGCAGTGACTTGAGTCAGGAGCTGCACGAGTTGTAAGCTATCTAGGTCGTAGTTGCTCACATCTGCAATAGTGGTGAGCTACAATGACGTCCATAGGTCGTAAAGGCAGTAATCTGGAGCTAAGTGACGTAGAACATAGTTGGTCACTTAAACCGTAGTGGCAAACTTTGAGGAAAAAGCTTTAAAAGTTCGGAAAAAGTCATCATTTATGAAGTGCATTATTACATTATTTTCAGCAAGCGTCATTGCACCATATGTAGTGTGTGTTGTTACATCATCATTATAGTGTGCGTTGCATAGTATTCGAGGTGCATTGTTACACAGACTTCAAGGTGCATCGCTGTACGATATATTTGACAATGTATTGCTCTATTGGGTGCTTTACTGTTCCACAAACGCTAAAATTCTATAATGAATGTTAAGACTCCACAAGGGACTTCACTGCAGTATGTGGCGGCTAATCGTGGTCAATGGTAGAAGGCGGCCTACGATGTTAGATAGAGGCCGACATGCGGTGATTGATGGTGGTCGGGGACTGCAGAACCGGGAGGAATTCAACGAATCTTCAAAGCAGTAACGATGTTGAGCTTCAACTCCTTCTCCAATATCCGGTCTTCTTTTAGCTCTAGGTCTTGGTGTCCTCCTAAGAGGTTGTGTTCTATTAAAAAAGTATGGGAGAGTCATCTGTACAAATAGAGAAAGAATTTATACTATTCCATCGATTAACCTGGAGAAATTCCCTCGACCATACAACGTTCAATGAGCATTTGAGCGCCCTAATGAGGTCATAATTGAGCTATCTTGAGCTCATTATATTCGTCTCGCCGAGATGCTTGATTTGACAAGAAGCTTTTCATATTTGAAATGAGTTTGACCTTTCAATCATGCGTTGAAAGTTTCTAAAAGTAAACTAACGACTTGATGTTAGTATGCTTTAATTCAGATTGAACCAATTTTTGTATTATTAGGTTTGTCTCGTCAAACCAGCCACTTAGGCTGTAAGTTTGCTGAAATCAAATTTTCGGATGATTTTTAATCAAAATTCGAACATTTTTTGTTAAGAAAAATGACCTCGAGATCCATGTCAAATGATAAATTTATTGACATAAACATATAGGAATTGAATGCCATGCATGTAAATCTTCCTAAACTTTATCATTTCCCCCCAAAGTTTTACCCAAGTATTTTATCTAATTTTGGCCAGAATGCATCTATAATCTAAAATCAGCAAAGTTGACAAACTGTTTATTTATTTATTTATTTTAATTTCTAGTCGGCACCGATTAAAATAAAAACAATGTAAAAATGAAAAAAAAAAAAAAACTGAGAATTTGTACCTTTCCTTTAAAGTTACAAAAAGTATGGCACGTGTCAAAACAACTCCCACATTTAAATATTGGAAATGATATGATAGAATACATTTTCTTATGCTAAAGTAAATTAAGCCTAGTGTTGCATTTGATACTAATTTATTGTTATTCTATTATATGAATTAAAACCACCACACTAATTCACATATTTTATGCTCATGAATCATGCAATGATGCACACTTAAATTGCAAATTAAAATAATTTTCTAAATAATTAGTATTTTTCAAAATTATACAAATTTAAACAGGTATCAAATGGGTAAAAATAAAGTTAATGTAATAAATGTTCATTCTATCCTGAAAAAAATGAGTTTAACTTGTGTCTGAAAACATCAGATATTACAAATATTGCATCTAAACTTTGATATTTATGTGTAAAACAACTTCCGCAACTCTTTGTTTTATGAAAAAAATATTATGACAGGATAATGCACGTAGAGGTACGTACGGAAGTCAATCCAAATATGCCACGTGTTTTTATATTTTTTATCATTATTTTATTTTAAGGAATTCATAAAAAACGATGAGAGTAATGACGTGACTCGATTTAGCCCGTTGTATGGTATTGACATATCATTTAAACATGGGAAAAGAACGCATCAAAAGTTTGAAAGCAAAGTAAGTAATTGATCGTTCAACTTTTAGAGTTTAGGCATAACAGATTTTTTCGTTTCGAAACATCAGGAAGAAATCATTGTCGTTGCTGAAATTCTGGAAGAAATCATTGTTGTTGTAAGAACTCAGAAAGAACCTTAAGGATGGAGAACAACTAAAGTGAAAACTTAAACAGCTCTAAGGTTATATTTGTTCCTCTTTTTGTTGATGAAATTATAGACTTGAAGTCATTAGTAAGTTTGAAACAAAATTTCGTTTACATGTTTATATGTAAGATTTATTTTTTTATTAATTGGAGCAGTTTGATGCATGTAATATTTAATAATCTATAATCGAACGAGACTATCTTAATTGTGTGTTGACGAATGAGATTTTAATTTTTACTTATTCCCAACAATTCACCACTGGTGGCTACCAATAGGACTGATAATAGCATCACCAGCAAAAGCATTTCCGCCAACACCGCTAGCACAAGCATCACTACTGGCCAGATGAGGAGGTTTTATTTCTCTCTGGAAAGATTGAGAATAAGAGATGGGTTGTGGGATGCCAGAGTAGTTAGTTGCGAGGTGATGCCTGAATTAAAAAGCTGCAGTGAAGAAGCAACGTTGCATGAGAGGGTTTCAGATAGAATGCCCAGAGGAAGAAGGTTAAGCTTGTGTTTCTTGTTGAGGAGCAGTTCGTCATGAAGGATTTTCCAACACCGACATGCTCCTTCCCGCACAACTCCAAGTCGTAACAAATGTAAATATTAAAAGTACATGTGTGATATCCATAATATCCCATATGTAAAAACCTCAAATAATAAACAAATAAAGCAACTAAAAAGAAAAAGAAAATGAAAAAAAAAAAGAAGTAATTTTTTTTTAAAAAGCATTATTTGAATAACAATAAAATGACACTCATTGCATGAACTATGGACTATGATAAAACCTAATGTTCTCTATCTTTTAACAAATTATTTACCATCTTGACCAGGGGTCCCGTCCCCTTCGCCATTATCTCCAACCTTGAAGCATTGGAAGCCTGGCCAAAGAGGGAGAACCCAAAAACCAGCAGCTCCGGCAGAAACAACCTAGAAGACAAGAAGCCATGCCAATACCTCGCCTCCAAGCCGAAGAAAGCGTCAAAGAACCTCCTCGTACCCTCCAGATCCAGCCTCAGCAGCACATCCATGCCGAAGCAGAAGAACTCCCTCTGTCTCCTCCTCTCGATCGGCCACAGATCCTTCCAAACCCTAGCCGATACTTCCTCCCCGCTTCCCCCAATGTATCGAACTATGGCGTCCGCTACAATCGGAGCGGCGGCGAGCGTTCTCGCCACCATGTATCCTGTAGAAGGATGAACCATCCCAGCTGTTCCTCCGATTCCTAGAACCCTCTGCGGCAGCACGGGGAGCGGGCCGCCCATGGGTATCACGCACCTTTCATCTTCCTCGATCCGCTTAATCTTTATCCCTAAATGTCTCAATCGCTCAACCATTCTCTCCTGTATGTCCTCGATCGGTATCCCGGGACGAGCCACCAGAGAGGTCTCTTCAAGGAAGATTCGATCGGAGGAGAAGGGCATCGCGTAGAGGAAAGTGGGCAATGCATCGTTCCGCCGCTTGAGATCGGAGCGGAACTTTAGATGCGAATCTCGCCAATCCATGAAAACCATCCGGTCTAATTCGAATGGGTGTTCCTCAACCTCGGCTAGGATTCCATAAGCGACCTGGTACCCGGGGTTGTAGGGTTTATCGTAGCGGATGAGACAGCGAGAGAATCCGGTGGCGTCGAGGACGACGGCGGCGGGGATGATGGTACCATCGCTGCAGAAGAGGAGGGAGCGGGATTCTTCGTGGACGACGTTGAGGACTTTGGATTGGTGGAAACGGACGCCATTGGAGATGCAGGAGCCGAGCATACGGGATTTGAGGCGGCGGCGATCGACTCTTGCGTAGGGACGGGAGAGGAGCTTGCAGTTGGAGTCGTCGAGTTGTCGATGTAGACGAAGGCGGAGCTCCAGGAGGCGTCGAGGCAGTCGAGGAGATCCATGGCGGCGAACTCGTCGACCCAGACGCCGTAGTTGTTTGGCCAGACGAGATTAGGGAAGGGATCGATGGAGCAGACGGAGAGACAGGCTTCTGAGACGCGTTTGGCGACGGCGAGGCCGGCGGGGCCGCCGCCGACGACGGCGAGGGCTATGGGGTCTATGGTGGGGCGATTGGTGGCGTCGTAGCGGGGAAGGTCGAAATCGAGGGTTTCTTTCTTGGTTTTAGGGACCAGTTCGAGAAAGGAAGCGGTGGAGGCGGTGGTGGCAGTGGCGGCGGCGGTGGTGGATGGGGAGATGGGGGTTCTGGGCCATCGGGGATGGGGGGTTTTGTTGAGGAAAGGGATGAAGGTGGGAACTTGGGGTTTTGGGATTCGGAGGAGGGTGTCCATGGGAGATTTGAGATACTGTTGAAGGTAGATTGAAATTACAGAGCTTGAAATTGATGTTCGATCTAAGCTGCAGAGAAAGTGGGAGAGCGGAGGGGGAGGGGGAAAATGGGATGGCTGTGCAGCGAAGAGAAGTGTGGAGGGCACCATTGTGGCAGAAGTGGTAGAGATCTTTTTCTTTGTTGGCTTGCTGGGGCATAATAGGCTACCAAATGGCAGTGTGGGGGCGGCTAAGGAAAGGGATGGAAAAGGCTAACTATGCCTGTGTTTACCACTAACTCAGGCGTTTCAGATCGTACCTAGCTCATGAGAGATTCATCAAAATTAAACTTATATTAGAAGTTTATAATAAATTCTTTATGTAATTAAAGATCTACTTTACATACATAGAACTCCATTTTTATGGATTTACATATCTCTCACCTAAACTTTTTTATTTACACGAATAATACCTTACCTATGTATGAAAAGACGGATTTGGCCATTAAAAAAAATAATTGCACGTAAAAAATATGTCAGCATGAATGACGAAGGAGTCTCACGGATGACGAAAGAGATGGTGAGGGCTTAGATAGCCTACCATCACACTCCCATACCACTTGCTTAATCAACCAGCTCATCTATCAAAGAGACGGTGTGTTTCCAACGGTTTAAAAAAAGAAAAATGTATCCTTGAAGAATCAAGGTGACCAGGTTTGTTCGGACGAGTCCCTCACCACCCGATTCACTTAAGGTCAGGAGAAGGGAACGAACCCTTCAACTTCAGGACGATTTGTGCGAACTCTCTGCAATAAGTCACCCCGCCACACGTCCGCCTGGTCTTTTGACCCCCCAGCCTCATAACTGCCTGGCGCCCGACCTCTTAATCATCAGGTTCAAAGATAACTAATTGGCCCCACCAATGGGCCTCACATGGCTAAATTTATGTATGGACTTAGATACTCTCACCGTCCCCACACATTCTAGGGGTGCAATACGTAATCTTATATTGACTCATTCCTTTAAATAGGGCTCCATTTTTATGAAGAAGGGTGACACAAATTTATTGTTCAATATTGTGTTATTGCTCTTCCCCTCTCTCACCCCGTAACACTCCATTCCTGGGCATGTCTCTAGGACAGATTCAAGTTTAACATCTTAAAAGGTGCGGTGAGCGTGGAGTCATGTCATCGATAAGAAGATGAGCAAAACGATCCCATAAATAAAGGAGCAACTGAAGAATGTTAGCTAATGTGGATCCCCCACAAGTCGACATCGAGGAATGCATGTAAAGAGGAATACAAGAGATGAGGTCTCAACCAAGTGTCGGGCCAAATCACCGAGGTCCTAAGAGTCATTACAACCCTGGTCGAGAATTAGGCCCCACATGAACAAAATCAGCAACAAGAGGAGGCGCCGACACACAACGGTGCAATGGTGAACCACAGTCCTGAAGGGGCCAACGATTCACAGTACCAAAATAGTGCAGGATTTGCACAAGTAGAAAGGCAATGAGTAGGGCACAATAAGGCATCGTGCTGCCGGAGAACACTTTCTCCCTTCAAATTTTCGGGGCTGAGCCCTCAGAGAAATCCAAATTACCGGCCTTAGAGGCCTAGCATTCTTTCCCACCAAACTAGAAGAAGAATAAGAGAATGAAGGCCCTAGGTAGTCCGAGCTAAAGAGAAGTCAGCTTTCCAAACATGCTCCTTTAAAAATAAAATAACTTTCCTCAAAAGGTTAAAAAAGGTAAATCACTAGCCTTTTGCCTCCTCAGAGCAAATCCTCAAATTACCCAAGAATTCCTGCAATTTTGACTTACTAAGGAAGAGTTTGAAGCTCAAAATGATGAAAATTGCAGGAAAAAATTGGACCCAGAAAATGAAGTGACACTTAGGAGCCAAGGCCTCACACCTAGGCTCCAGAGTTCGGTGCATACTTTCTGTCTGCTCGGGTTCGGGAGCTGATCTGGAGTGGTTTTATGACACCTAGGCATCGGGGGGTTGGCGCCTACTTTTGAAGCTCTTATTTTAGAAAGCTTGGGAGGTGCTCTAGGTGCCCAAGTTCCTAGTATTAACGCTCAGGCACTAGGGGCTGACGTCTAGGTTCCAGTTTGGTAAAAAAAAAACCTAATTTTTACCGGGAACGTTCGACGAAGGATTTTGTAATCTATAAAGTATGAGAGAGTGTGTACGAATGAAAGTCAATCCTTTAACCTCAAATAGAAATATTTATAAGGGCTTATGCCAGCACTAAAAAGTTGAGGAGTTGCCCGTTGAATGCTGTCGATCGCCGGAATCGAGATCCCTTCGCCCGCTTCGGAAAGACATTTAATTTACATATAAATATATAAGTTTAGAAAAATATGAAATCAAACTGACCACATATCTTTCACAGTTTAAATGAAAGAGCACTATATCTCAAACCCTGTATATATCCCGAAAGATAAACACAAGACTTGAGGGTGAGGCTTGATCAAATAAACTAAGAAATGTATGACATCTGTTCGGTATGCTAAATCATTTTATTTGTCGACAAGTTCCCCTATTTAATACGAAAAGTTAAATAAGATTTATATTAAGCTGGGTTCAGAAAAGCTTCCTATAAGGGCAAACCCCTATAGTTAATTACATCTTAGATAACCGAAGTCAACTAAGAAAATTCTCGATAAAAATAAAGAAATATTATCTTCAAAGAGGTCAAAAAGATAGTACTTTTCAACGATATCGGACAAAGATGTGTGAAAGAGGAATCACTCAAATTTGGAATATTTATTGTAGAATCCAAAGGAGGAAGAACTAGAGGATGTCATAGATCCTGAGGAGAACCTCAGTGACTTCCTAGTCTATCCTATTGTTTGGCTTTGATTTTGGAGAAAAATATTTAAGTGTTTCATCTTGCCAATTTTTTTATTTTAGGAATTACATTTAGGTGAAACAATTACACAAATAGCCTGGAAAATTTAAGGATTTAGGTCGTGATGAACGACAACCTCAAAATTCTAAGACGAGTTAGGGCTTATATTGTACAACAGAGCTATACAAAAAACCTAAGAAAAAGGTTGAGAATTTATGTTGTATAAGCAAACCACATCGAAGTCTTATGACTTGGTTATTTAATTTTAAAAGAAGAGTGGTTTAGCTGGTGCAGTCTTGTTTTGCTGTTGAAGATGACCGTGCTGCCCATAATGCTAGCTCCAAGCTCATCGTCGCAGCAATTTTATATTTTTTAATGTGTCAAGTTATAATGTCAAATCATATGTCCCTATGATTATGGTTCTTTAAACTATATGGGGCATATTGAAGTTGATTAGAACGACATTGGTTAGGATCCTACGCTTCCCTCGTTCCGATATCACTATTTTCTTTTGGATTCACTTAGTTCAAATGAATCTACTAAACTACTAAACTCAACTTAATGAGTTTCATTTAGACCGTGAGAAATCTCATTAGCAACCGTAGGTTACCTCCGACGGATTCCCGATCATCCGATAGAGACGTTTTAATTTAGTTGCAATTTTTGTTTTGTGATGTTTGTGATTAAATTTTGAGTTGTCTTATATTTTGAATGTTGTGGCGGTGAATTTTATCTTGATTGTTTTTTTTTTAGTTTTGGTTTTGGTTTTATGGCTATCCTAGCAGTTTTGGTTTTCATGCAGGGTGATATTGTTGTTTAACATGCAAGCTCGAGACAAGAAGTACAAAAAGGTAAATGCATTAATTTAAAAGCGTACCTGTCGATTCTTCTCGTTCCTCCACCTGAAATGTTAGTATTTGCAAGTCATGTATATAATTTTGCAGGGAATTTAAATTGCAGGAGTAGATAAAGGTTTAGCTACCAAACCTCAAGTTAGGATTTTATTGAACCTCTGAAGTTCTTAGTGAATGATTTTAGAACAAAAATAAGGCAAGCCCGATTCACCATTCAAAATGTCTAATAGATTTCAAAATTCTCGAGGCATGACCCTGAACCATTTTGAAGATCTCTTGAAATATTTCGAGTTCATTTTGAACTTATCATATTGTTCCATTAATCATCCGAGGTTGAAGTGTGACTACCCCGTTGCTCAACGAAACTTGACAATTTAATTATCCTGAAGATATGATACCCATTTAATCAATTGGTGTTTCGTTTAAAGGTTATGTGAGTGGGTGCCCCTAAGGCAAGTTTAGGTCATTTAAGATTGTGGTGCCCGTAATTACAATTAGGCTTGTAGTACTTAAAAATGTTAATCACCAATCATGTTGCCTTTTAAATCCAATCAACTGAGTTTAGACATCGAGCCTAGGTCACTACTGAGCCTATAATAATCATGATATGTGGAATGTTGATTATCAAAATTTTGATTTTAAGTGATATGTATTCTTATCAAATAGTCAAAATCATCTTTAACTTCGGGGCTTGAGAAGAGTAAACTATCATCTTTCCAACTTAAGCCATCACTTAAGAATCTTTTGATCATAATTGACTTCCAAGTCATGAAGATTAAGAGGAATATGATTTTGTTGATGTTGTTCAAAGGGTGGTGAGTGAGTTTCTACCTTTTAACCCCATTGTATTTCAATCATCCAAATATATTTATTAAGATAAAAAATACCTAAAAAATAGGTCAATCCTAAAAAATAGGTTCAATCTTGGTTAATCCTAAATTTTGATTGATGTACCAAAGTCTAAAATGACTATTTTACCCTTAGGGGCACTTCACCTCATAACCCATTAACCACAACTCAAATGACTTTGAGGGTTTAGAGTGTCATATCCATGAGGTAATTATAATATTATAAGAGAATATGTAGACTTCTCAAAATTTAATTTAATTTAAATGTTTACTTAAACCCAAAAAATAGGTTTTTTTAGAAATTGATTTATTTACCTCTCCAAGATAAAGTTTTTTTTTTTATTTATGTGAAAATTATTAGAGGTTTCCCTATGTCAGAGAAATACTTAGACAAAATTTCATGATTTTTTGAATTAATTTATTATAATTATTTTAATAGGAAAATAAGGGAAATCCACTTTTAAGCCTCAAAATTTATTTTTAACTTAGGAAAAATTAAGGAAAATATTTTAATGAGTCCCAAGTGATCAGAAAACAATTAAACACATTTTGAAATATTTTGG